GGGGGGGGGTCTTTTTGAGGAAGGGTCTTCTTGTAGCCCCAGCTGGCTTGGCAGAGATCCACCTGCCTCTGCCTCCTGAGTGCTGGGATTAAAGGCAGAGTCACCCTAACAGATAAACACAGACTGTGAGGCTTAAATAAAATCTGTCACAAATTCCAGCAACCAAGTCCAGACCAAAGCCCCTCAGGCTTGTTTCCCCTTGACCTCTCCTAGGCTCACAGGTAGCTGCCCCCCCATGTCCACGTGCAGTCTCTCCAGCACACGTGTGTATTATGTCTCTTTCTTCTTATAAGGACAATAGTCATATCGGATTAGGTCCTTACCCTGGGGGCCTAACTTAATCATCTCTTTAAAAAAATCATTTCCAAATATAGTTACATTTTGAGGTACTAGGGATTGCAATTCCAACTTGAGACTTTCGACGAATAATTTAGCATATAATGTTTGTAGAGAGTATAACTCCAAGAAAGTTATTAGACATTTCTAGACTTCCGTTTCACCAACTGCAAATTGTGATATTGAAACTCAAATAAGATAATGCTGGGTAGAGTGTCTTACCCACAGTGCCATTTTGTAAACAAGACACAACACAGATCAGAGATGGTGACTTGCTTTTTTTTTTTTTTTTTTTTTTTTTTTTTTTTTTTTTTTTCTTTTTTGTCTTTTTGAGACAGGGTCTCCTTGTAGCCCCAGGTGGCCTGGAATTCACTACGTAGACCAGGCTGGCCTTGAACTCAGGGAGATTCGCCTGCCTCTGCATCTGCCTCTGCTGGGATCAAAGGTGTGCACACCCACGCCTGGCTCTGACTTGCTACCTTCTAGGATAGAACTCTTGTCCTACCTTCCTGTATAACTTAAGGCACAGTCCAGGAGAACTTCACACTGACGGCCATCTCCCCTCTTGCTTCTGCTCCGCTTTGTGCTGTAGAGAACCGGACTCTCTTGTACGCACAGTCCTCACATTGCTTGCTAACTGCTTTCTTTGTTTCCCCCAAATGAGATTACATATAGCTGGGCCTGGTAGGACAGGACAATAATCCCAGATATTTGGAGGCTGAGGCATGAGTCCAAGGCCAGTCTGGGCACTTAGGAAGACCATGCCTCAAAATAAAAGGTAAAAAGAGGGCTGGGGATGTGACTCAGTGAGAGCGTGAGACCCTCAGTTCAATCCTCAGTATTACAAAAACAAACAAACCAACAACAACCCAAACATTACATAATTAGGAAGATAAGGGAGTAATGAACTAATAAGGGATGACCTTATTAGTAAAAATACAGTCAAGCTGAGTGTGGAGGCACACCTATAAAACACAGCACTAGGGAAGCAGACAGCCAGGAGAACCTTAAGTTCAAAGTCAGTCAGACCTAACATAGAGCCCAGGCTATTCAGGGCAACACAGAAAAACCCTGTGTCATACCGCCAACTCCGTGCCCCAAAATTTAGTTACGAAGACATAGTACTTTCTCAGAATTGTACAGCAAGGACAATTGGCTGTAGCCACACAATGCTGATCCCATCTTAACTACTGGGAAAGAACAGCAACCCAAATGCTTCATAAAAATAAATCTGGATTACATCTTGTATTTACTTATGACCCCACATACACTTATGCCTTTCTATCCTGAATGGGGATGTTCACTCTTACAGTAATCATGTGACTAAAACATAATTCACATTTTAGAGCTGAGGGAACAGAAAACAGGAACACAGAGAAAAACATTTTCATGAAGGTCACAAAGCTTGTCAACAGTCGCCAGACACAGAAGGTCAGATACTCTGGGGTCTAATGCCAAGGCCACTGTCACCCTCAAGTTGTAAGACGTAGTTTATTTACTCTTCATTCCCAGCACGAACAGGAGGCTGACTTAGCACACATGAGTCAGGTGCAGGGGCTGTCTAGACCAGGCTGCAGCATCTCTGTGTCGTTCATAATGGGACCAAGATTTCCTGACAACAGTGACCACCATCAACAGAGTGACAGTGAGCAGTAAGCACGGCTTCCTTCATTTCAATCAAACAGGTATTGACTGAGAATTGAGATTACAAGCACATGTCTGTTGCATAGTCAAGTCAGAGAACATGTTCCTTTAGAGATGGCAAAGAGAGCTTGGAGTGCTTTCCAGACTCTAACCATGTAAGAGCACTGACAAAAAGCAGCATTCATGAAAATTCCTCACGGCAAACCACAGAGAGGCCTGGGGGCTCTTCCAACCCCAACCTTCTGGCTCCATGGTAATCTCCATCTGACAGGTGGTTAAACCGACCAGTTCTAGAACCAACTGCAGGTACACTGTAACTGGATCCACCAGTCCATGTCCACTACAGCAATCAGTTTCCAGGAAAACAGCAACTGTGTATGTGACATGGAAAATCACAATACCCAGAGGGAATGCTAATGGGCAATGAGGTCGAGCTGAGTCACAGTGGAAGGCTATTTGTCAGGGCCTCTGTCATAAAAAGGAGCTATATTAAGAGAAAGCATGGTAACTTTAATTTTCTCAAGAAAACACTGCTATCTGATTTTTCAACAATGCGTGTGTTTGGATGGATTTTTGAGACAGGTTTTCTGACTCTGTAGTCCAGGCTTCTCTGAGATTCACTGCGGAGTTCAGGCTGGCCTCAAACTTGGAGCAATTCACCTGTCTCATGGCACCTTCCACCCCCCGAAACCCCAGTGGTGGGACTGCAGGTGTGAGCCGCCACACCCTGCTTCAAGTATGTTTTGCTATGAGCAGGTAGCCCAGCAAGTTTTGACCCTGTCATGGAAACAGACTACTTCAGAGCTGTTCTGTTCTGTTCACATGGAAGGGAAGTGGGTAGAGCCCGCCCAAGAGCTGAGCTCTGTCTCCACCAACTCCTGTAGCTTCAGGGGCCTGAGGACGGCGAAGCGTTCACCTCTGCAGCCTCTGCAGGTCTTCGTGAGCAAGCTGTCCATTGTTCCCCTCACTACCTACTTCATAGGTTTGAGTTCTGAAGAAAAGCAATGAGCAGAGAACTGAAGGGCTGCAGCTCCCACGAGCATCACACATCCTGCTCGAACTAATCCTTTCAAGTGACTGAGATCCAAGGCAGGCAAATCTCACACACAAAGAAACAAGGAGACAACAACAACAACAACAAATGCAAAGCACTCTGAAATATCCTCCTGTAATATAACTGTACTGCAGATGAAACCTTGTTTAGATTTCATTCCTAAATAAAGATTTCACATTTCCCTAGGACATGAAAGAACAAAAACCTCTGTTATGACTTTCTGGATCCATAGAAAACGTTTTTGATCATGCTGAGGAAGAAACTTATTTTTAAAAATATGCTATTTATTTTGACTCTACATGTATGAGTGTTCTGCCTGTATGTATTTAGGTTCACCCATATTGTGCAGTGCCCATGGAGGTCAGAAGAGGGCATTGGAATCCCTGGAATTGGAGCTACAGATGGTTGTTAGCTGCCATGTGGGTGCTGGGAACTGAACTTGGGTCCTCAGCAAGAGCAGCAAATGCTTTTAAATGCTGAACCACCACTCTAGCCCCTGGGAAGAAACTTTTCTCTATTAGTTTCCACTGGCCAGCAACAGCCTGCACAGACTGGGCTCCAAATAACTAGCTTCCATGAAGATCTGATTGAGTCTGGCCTGCACATGACAAAGACGTGATCAAGGAACCTGTGTGTCCTTCAACCGCAGAGAGAAGAATACTGTCGGAGAAGGCGGAGGGGGAGTTAGAAAGATCAAGAACAGTGACAGAAACAGTCCAGAGAATGGTATGAACTTGGGCTTCCATGAGTGCTTCACCATACTAAATCACACATGACTCCATAAAGAAAGGGAAAATTAAAGCCCATCTCAATCCTCACTTCTGTCATGGATTGAGTTTGAGAAAGAAAATTAAGACAGTCTTTTAAAGTTATTCAATCAAAGGCAGAAATCATAGTTTAGATATCTAAGGGAATAAGCTCATTAATGTGGAGTAAAAGACTTGTTCAATAATTAGCCAGTATCCTTACCCAAATAGCGTCAAACAGAAAACCCCAATCTCCTTAAAACTTTACTGGTCTTAGAATGTTAGATCTGATTATCCCAATTTACGAATTCTGTGTGTCTACTATCATCCCTAGAGTTCTCAGAAGCAGGACTACCTGCTTCCAAAGAGTTATCTGCTTCTTTTACTTTTAATATTTTATTTTTCAAAAGTCACAGAAGTGGTGTCCTTCAACAAATGGAGTAAAGCGAATGCTAAGAACCAGCTTCTATAGCTACAGATAGGGCAGGGAATAAAGGGTTTCTACGCGAAGACAATAGGGCATACTCACAATGGTCAAAGTCACATCAAGGAAACACAGAAAATAGTACATAAATGGGAATCTGAAGGTATGGCTCTGTTCAAGCTGAACTATTTTTCATAGCAACCAACTGCCACGAAGAGGCTGTACTTGGATTTTAGACAACAGGCCAATTCTTCACCAAAATGAAAGGCATTAACCAGCCAGCTCAGCACCCCACAGTGTAACCTCCCAAGCAGCACAAAACAATTCTTTGTTGTTGCTCTTTTTTTGTCCAAAATGGAAAGTAGATGCACTTACATGGCTCTCTGGCAATGAACTGAGGTACAGTGTTGGGTAGAGGAGTACTGGGGTTTGGAGTTCCTACTAGCTTGTTCTTGGCCATCTTCGTGTTTGCCTTAGCAAACTCTAGTCGCAGTGTTTGCGGAATTTCAGGATCGAAGCGGATGCCCTTTGGAAATAAAGAACAAATGGAAGATGTTTTCATTTCCTTAGAGTTAACCAGAATGGTGACAAAATAAACACACCAGTGAACTCTGACCTCTCAGGGAAAAAGGTCAGCAAGAGATCTCATTCTCACTATTTACACAGAATACGCAAACCCCACAATACATGGTGTCCGGAAAGCCAGGAAGACGGAGTCAGCTCACCCCACTAAAACATTTAGTTACATGGATTTTCACAGATCCCTTCTTTTCTCCCAGGGCAAAACTAGCCTGAATTTAAAATGTAGACCAGCAAATTCATAGCACAGTTAAAAACTCTGACTAAGAGAATGGAAATTATGACTGTGGTGCAAAGAGTGACACATGGGGCGACACTGGACTCTGACATCTGAATTCCTAAGTGGCCTGGGCTCTGAGCAGCATTATATACAAGATTCTTCAGTGCTTTTAGATTGATTACCTATAAATGGAGAAAGAGAATTCTTCCAACTCACCTTTACAAAAGTAATGCAAGTAGCCTCCATTACTTAGAAGATAGGAATTAAGATAGCTGCGATATTTTAAACATGACTATTATCATGTAATTCCAGTTAGTGCATAAATTTGCTAGGCTTGAAGTAGTTAAATCCTGATTTTGTAAACAAAATCAACTGGCTAACAAGCTACACGAGGAAACAAAAGATTTGGATTTGACCAGTTGGAGATGACAGCGAGTCCAACACTCAGCCCTATCATTGCAGCTGGCCTTAAAGAATCCAGTTCATCAAGCAAATCATCAACACTGACCCTCCAAGATTCAGACAAGTGCATTTCAGAAGCCTCCCAAATGTCTTCATTACTAAGCATAAAAACCGAATGAAAACTGTTTGATGCCATGAATTCTGGATACTACCAAGAGCATTAAAAAGCAATCTGAATACAATGCTATACACAGACCCCAGATTTGTCTGAGCCTGAAAATGAAGCAGTTTAGCTGGGCATGGTGGCGCATGCCTTTAATCCCTGCACTTGGGAGGCAGAGGCAGGCAGATGTCTGTGAGTTCAAGGCCAGCCTGGTCTACATAGTGAGTTCCAGGACAGCTGGGGCTACAGGGAGACCCTGTCTCCAAAAGACAAAAAAAAAAAAAAAAAAAAAAAAAAAAAAAAAGGCTTTCCATATTTGTGGGCCGGAGGGTCTCTCCACCTCCTTTCCCCTTTTATTCTTTTTAGATTTATTTTTTCTGTTGTTTTTATGTGTTGGTATGTGTACCTGCGTGAGCTTGTATGTCCCACATGAATGTGGGAGCCTGCAGAGGCCAGGAGTCAGATCCCCTGGAACTGGAGTTACAGGTGCTTGTAAGCTGCCATGTACCGTCCCGTTTTTAAAGAAAAAGAAGGGCTATTTCTATAAGAAATTAGCAAGAATCTCTTAACTCTGGACCAGAATGAGTAACTCTAAACTTCACAGGCTCAATTCCAAAGACACAAGAAAGAAGCAGTAAAAGCTATTAAAGGAAATGTGGCTGGTGGCATATGACAGAGCCCTGACCCAGAGACGCCATGAGTGGGGTTAGAAGTATTGGGCAGATGGGCGCATATGACAGAGCCCTGACCCAGAGACGCCATGAGTGGGGTTAGAAGTATTCTTGAGCCTGATTTGATTACTCTCTGAAAAGAAACTCATTAAGACCAGCAAACATAGGAAAGAAAAGAACCAATCAAAAGTGAAAAGAGGCATCAGTTCTCTGAAATACAGAAAGCAAATTTCTTTAACTGGTTTTGGGTTTGCTGTTCTTAGTTGGGAAAACCTCTGTATCATCTTGCCAAAAATGTAAAGAAACAGCTGTAATCTGAAGAGGCATTTGTTCCTACCAGTTTACAAACGACATTTTACCATATCCAAGCTACCAACACTGGCTCACATGTCATCCCAGCACTTGGGAACTTGAGGGGCTGAGTCAGGAGGACTGGCATGAGATCAAGGCTAGCCTGGGCTACAGAGACCTTTTAAAAAAAAAGGAAAGAAAAGCCAGGCGTGGTGGAGCACGCCTTTAATCCCAGCACTCGGGAGGCAGAGGCAGGCGAATCTCTGTGAGTTCAAGGCCAGCCTGGTCTACATAGTGAGCTCCAGGACAGCTGGGGCTACAGGGAGACCCTGTCTCAAAAAGACCAAAAAAAATAAAATAAAAAAAAAAAGGAAAGAAAAAGAAACAATAGTTACTATGACAACAGTTAAGTATTCCAAATACAGACCTGAAATAGACCTGAAGAACTGTGTCTTTGCTGGGAGGCAACTGTGGCTGCTGACGGCCATCTAAGGAATGCTCTAGTGGGCCTTACACATTCCCAGCACAGTGAACACACAGCAGTAACTAGCCATTCACTTCAGGGGTCCTCTCCAGCATTAACTCTGCCAACCTTCCTCGGAACCAACTTTTCTAAACCTCAGCCCACATTGACTTGGGGACCTTAGCCCAGGCGACTGAGGGTAAGATGACAAGAGCATGCTGGGTGCTATTTGTGATCATCTGGAGCTTTTACAGGGTCTCAATTCTGTAACTCAGATCACTCACTGGTGTTCGAGAATCCACCAAGGCTGTCAATGTGCTAGCCTCTTACACAACCTAGGTTGGTGGCTCACGTCCTTAAACATGCTAAATTGAGCCTCCCTGGCTCCTCACCCCCTTCTTCATACCCTTCTCTTGTTTGAGCTAAAATAACATCAACATCGTGTTCCAAATCAAAGTTCCAGCATCCTTATTAACAAAAACAAAATAAAACAAAACAAAAAGCTCAGAAGTTAAAATGATCTAATTTGTTTGGCAGCTTTTTGGAGGCTGGAGGCTTAGAATACAAGCCACATTCTTCCAGCATCTTTAACAGCAATACCATATTTGGTAATCAATATCCTGGGCAACTAAGTTTCTATCCATAGGGATTAGCCAAGTCCAAACACCCCCACAGGGGTGGGGGGCTGGTGAAAATGTAAGGGAGGAAGGAGAAAAGAAAAAGAAGATGGAAGATGGGAGGCGGCACGGAGGGAAAACACCTTGTGCTTTTAGTTAAAGCTAATAGATTCATCTCTGGCAATAGTAACTTGGTATTAAATGGTAAGATTCCTACCAAGTAAAACAGAAATTTGTGGTGCTCAAAATCAAGTTCCTCTCTAGCTAATAATTCATTAAAATTCCTCTTACAAAAGAATCTTTCTCTTCAAAATGTAAATGGGATCTTATTTACAGGATCAGAACAGTCTCTAGAAATCAGTATGAAACTATTGAGGAGAAACCAACTGCTAAATTTCCAAGTCACTCAATCTAACTGGCTCCAGGGGCAGATGTCTCCACAATCCAGATTCAGTATGATCTAGTGGCCGAACCTTTATCTTGGGGCAGCCTGTGGGAGATGAAACAATACTGCAGACAGTGGTGGATGCTTGGCAGTCTACTGCACTTAGAACACCAGGATCGTTTGATGTGAGGCAAATTATGGAAGAACGATGGAGGAGCAGAAGTTCAGGGGGCAGTCAGTCAAGGAAAAAGGCTCAGCTTGCTTCCATGTGGCAGGATGTCAGGAGCCCAATGGGAGTTCTGCATAAGCAAGGGGGTTCAAGCACCAAGGACTTTGCGGTGTATGTGTTAAATGTTAGTATCAAGATTAACCAGAGGACTTGCTTTACAGTGCTGGACCACTGCAGTTTCTAACGCAGTAGTCTGGTTCAGGGATGAAGAACTCGCATTTCCAAAGATTCCCAGGTAAAGCTGATGCCACATGTGTAGGGACAACATCTGTGATTCATGATAGCAGTAACTCTACTGTGGTGGGGAAGATGAATTCAATGAAGAATCTTCAACAGAGCAGACATGAAGAGATGAGAGCAGCTCTGGAAAGAAGCTGGGTGGGATGGCTGCCAGTCTTTTAGAAAGGGCCAGGTGCCAATACACATAGACTGTGCTGTGCCTCTGCCTGCTTCTCGGACCATAGCTGATTATGGAAGGGACAGATGCTCCCCTAAGTGATCATTTTTCTCTGCTGGGATTGATACCTCGAGTACAGGCAGAGTGGCTGGCTTACCCCTCACTGGAGAGCAGATCTCCAAGCTCCTGGAAGCTTCATCACAGCACCCAGTGCCTGTAAGTCCTATCTGGTACAATAGAGTGCTTCAACTCCTGATCTACCAGCTACCCCAGGGCATATAATGAATGTCCCACCACTGAAGTAGGTCTGTCATTCCTTGACAATGAATTTTAGGGACAATGGAATAATTTATAGTATGGAGAACACAAAACAAAGTTGTGAATGAAGCAGAGTGATATACAGTCACTTAAAGATGCCCATAGATTATATTACGTTTTAGGTTTTTTTTAAAAAAGGGTTCTGGCTGGGTGTGGTGGCACATGTCTTTAATCCCAGCACTTGGGAGGCAGAAGCAGGCAGATCTCTGTTCCAGCCCGGTCTACCTAAGTTCCAGGCCAGTTAGGGCTAAATAGTGAAACTTGCCTAAATAAAAATTTTAAAAGGGGGAGGCTCTGAACAATGACCCCCGCCCTCAAATTGGCAGGATAACTTTATTTAGAATGAAGTCAAAGTACAGATTAGAGAGGGCTACACTGTCAAGATTGACATCCAAGCACATGAGCAACAGATCGTTTGGTAGTACAGGAACAGAGGGAGGCAGGGATCGTGCGTGCCCTATCGGTAAAAACCCAGAGATCTTAATGAGACAAACAACCTTTTAAATGGAGCTTCGGGGGAGGGGAGTAGACACAGCCTTCTGTGCAATTTTGTAAATTTAAAATTTTTATATACTTTAATTTCCAAAGTTATAATTGATAAAAATTTTAAGTCCAACATAGGCATTTAAAAATACAAAAAATAAGGCTGGGCATGAGGGAGGCAGAGGCAGGCAGATCTCTGTGAGTTCAAGGCCAGCCTGATCTACATAGGAAGTTCCAGGCCAGCTGGAGTTACAGGGAGATCCTGTCTCTAAAAACAAAACAAAACAAAAAATCCAAAACAGAAACAA